GGTGACATAAAGTAAAAATCTTTACACTGGCAGCAGCTGGTTTACGATGCCAATCATTGCACTTTCTGCATGAGGGTTAAATGATTCAGATGAGAATCAACCCTTTATAATTATCCTCCTTATTCAAGGTTAAAATAAAAGACAAATGACTGATCATCTCTGAAAGGCTTCATCTGCACTTTTCCTCAGCTAGTCGGTTGAGTCATGGGGCATTTGGCTGTAAAAAAAAAAAGATGCCGCAGATGTGCGTGTGCATGTGTAGGTTGCACCAAATTCCCACTGGAGCACWATGAAACAGACTGAACGTTTTCCTCTTTGCTTTGCCTGCAGTCTAGTGCTGAATACATACGCATAAATACATAAAGTAGCACCAACACGCACCTAAAGTGTGTACGTAGACATAAAGAAAGATTTTTTTTCTTCTTCATCCAAGTGTTGGAATTGAACASACACCTGCTGCCTCTTGTCGACGCAGATGCTCATACAGAACAAAAGTCAACTTCATCAACTGTCACCTGCAGAGACAACAACTCGGTAATTCGYTTTGGAATAAAACAAGCATACATTAAACTTCGAAACACTCTCCCCGGCTACAATCTAATTTTCTTTCCACCCATCATGCTAACGCCTAACTGCTCTCACGACAGCAAAACTTTTCTCATCACAGAAACAGAACATGTTTTTTCTCTCACAATGAYTGTAAAAGCCATAAAATTTGGTTGTATCTATTTAAGCAAAAAATATGAATGTGGAACATTTTCTATACACACATCTAAAGTTCAACTTTGCCTGAAGGCTAATTGTGAAGAGTTAGTTTATTTTTCTGAGTAACTCTCATGAATACGTTCAATTTCAGCCCAGGAAGTTTTTTCTTTTCTTCTATTCTTCTGTTTTAAAGTTCCTGTAAGTGCCTACTGTCTAAAAAAGTAAAAAGGGAATTACYCCATTTCACTATACAGTTTAGTGGTGATGCCGCCAGGAAGGCTGTTTCTTAAAGAGTGCCCTTGGCAGCAGTTAACAACACAAAATACACATAATCACAGCAAGGAATGTCCTCAAGGGGAGGCCTACTCCGGCTTATATACAGCTCTCACAGACACAAGTGTAGCGGTGGATACAAGCTAACGCTCGTGTACTTAAAGAAGACCGATACAAGCGTAGGGACAAAGGGATAYAGTTTACCCTGGAGGCAAAAAGCTATGTCAGAATGTATCTTTGAATGGTGTTGAAGGTTTGAACTCAGATTATAATAATGCTGCAACAAATGCGCCTCATCCAGAACAAAGCAGTTTCAAAAAAAATGGAAAGAAACTTTGAGCTGATAAAAAGGGTCTGAGTTTGTCTTTGAAGTTTGCATCTAGCTGCTCTGCAGAGGATGGCAGCTGCGCTTGACTTGAATAAACAATCGTCCCTGTAAAGTACGGTCTTTCTGCAACTTAGCACACTGTGTAGAAAGATGGGCAGCAAGTTTAAATTCATTTAATGGCAAGCAGAGTGAAACTGTGATTATACAAGTCAGACTGTATACTACGTCTTTGGAAAATTAAATTACTAATCACATGTTTATTTTCTTCAGTAAATATAATTCAAGTATGTTTCTTGTGGTGACGAAAGTGTTAATCAAAAAGAAAAAAAATAAGTAGGTCCTCTGGATGGGTTCTTTTTTAGTGAAACGTTTCATCTCTCCTCCAAGAGACTTCTTCAATCTGATGAGTTTCAGGTGAACTCAGCCTTATAAGCGGCCGCCTCCACATGGACAAACAGGTTAGTCACATGCAAAAGAGGGCCATTGCCTAACAATAGGCTTGATTAGCTCTATTTAGTCACATGYAAAAGAGGGCCATTGCCTAACAATAGGCTTGATTAGCTCTATTTAGTCACATGCAAAAGAGGGCCTACTTATTTTTTTTTTTTTGATTTTTTTTCTACCTGGATTACTGAGATGCATCAGGACAAAAGGGTTAAGTCTAACTGCAAGGCTGTTGGATCTTGAAATATTGCTGCTGCTCCTCTGCAGTGAAAGGAGTCCATTGAGGTGGTTCGGTTTTTGATTAGAAAGCCCACCGGTGCCTCGTTCTGGTGGATTTCTAAGCACATCTAATTTGGAAGAGATCCATGTAAGACTCAGAATGTTCCGCTTCTTCTCTGGCCTGGAAATTATTGGCTGAGAGGAAACATTTTCTCTCCAGTTTTATTTCTAGTTTAAAATCTACCCATTATTAGGTGTACAGTATACTGCAGCCGAACTGCCGAAATCTGTTCGCATTGTCAACGTTTCATGACAGAAACTGCATCATTCTGTTCGCAATGTCGACATTTTGGCACCTTCTTGTCGCAACCCGCGGGTCAAACTTTTTACCCCCCTCCGCATAAGAAGTTTGTGGGAGTGTTTGTTTAGGCCAGGGGTCTRCAACCTGCGTGGCCTCATGTGGCTCATTGGTCCCTCTAGAGTGGCTCTTTGAAAATGTGACYAAACATAACAGAATTTTTTTGTTTGTTTTTTATACCCATAACAGAAATCAATTTGTATGCAAATATGTGATCAATACTACTAATTTAAAAAGTAACACATGCTAGCTCATGCCAGCCTGTTGTTTACATAAAGAATCCAACTTATTTCTATGATATTTCTCTCAAATCCATCAGAATTACATTTAAAGTATTTGAAGACCACATAGTAATAGGAATTAGAAAAAAAATATGCCTGAACAGTGCAGTTGTGCTAGTTTTTATAAAATTTGGTATAAACTACAGTATTTTTCTTGTTTACATGAATCTGGTGTTTTCATTTGTCATGATGTGCAAAAATAATCATAAATAATAAAATTCACAATTTATTTTTCATCTTATAATGTCACCACCACTGGCTGTAAAGGTTCCCAAAAAGTCATTGAAAAGGCCCACGGACCACCAGTTGATAATTACAGCTTTAGCTTGTTTTGTGACTCTGGACACGTTATTAGTCAGCCAAATAGCAGAAATGGCTGTTTTGATGTAAAGGTTGCAGGTTTAGGCTGAAAGCGCTCAGAGGATGCATTTTGCGTCAACCACTCGCTTAAAAAAACTACTCACATCCAGAAGCCTGCKGTTGTAGGCTACCAGGAAGCAGACATTTCTAAAGATAGCCAAATGGCCAAAAACTCATGGATGGAGATAAAAGGGACATTGTGCAGAGAGGAATCTGTCAGATAAAGACTGTGGAGCTTTAACTATGACAGATTTGTGCACGAATAACTTTGGGTGATGGGTATCAGATTTTTTTTCTGCATTGTAGACTCCAGCGGGAAGAAACCCCATGTGGTGACTCATACCCAGAGCTCCTAGGAACATGGCACGATGTGTGAGGCTATAAAAGGTGTGTGCGAAAACGAATGCCAAACATCCACGTGACCATGTGTCGTCCGGTCGGCTGCTGAGTGACCATATGAATACTACATCAGTTCTTATTCAAACTTGACTGGAAACCCAAACATTTTGCAAGAGAATATTTTGAGGGTTTTTTTATAAGTTTACATCACACTTAAAGTAAACTCTTTTTAAAACCTTTAAATGTGCATCCCCAACAGGCACAACTTAGATTCTTTAATAGTCCTCAATCATTACAACGCTGCAACACACTGGCAATTCACCTAGACTCAACAGGTAACCAATCAGATGCAATGAAATCTATTTTGAGCTAATGAAAGAATCAACAGTCAAGCTCTTGTTTCCTACTGAACCACACAATAAACAGTTTGTCTGCAAATTGGACCACATGGGACACTTTAGGATGTGGGCTCTCTACAAGCGATGAATAAATTATCACAGAAATGAATGAACTCTCGTCTTGGTTTGGGGGGTATGAACAGAGGTGATTCAGACGACAGCTGTTAACACATGCCTAACTTGTTGCAGAGAGAACAGATTTACATTGCATTTGGTCAAAACAATAAAATCACCTTCCTTATGCCATAAAACCTCCCTCTGCCCCTTCGGAGCGTAGACATGAGCCTTCTGCGGCATCTGCACTGTGATGTCTGGCATCGGGACTTTGGCAGCGGATCTTATGGATTATGAAGTGAAGCCTCTGTGGATTAGCTTGTTTCCAGCACATCCAACAAATGTTGGATCAGGCTGAGATCTGGAGAATCTGAAAGCCAGGTTGACGCTGATTCTCTCTTCTATTTGCATTTTGGATGTCAAAGACTGTCACTGCCAGGAAAAGGTTTTTTTTTTTTTGTTTGTTTGATTGTTTTGTCTGTAACAATGTTTAGTTGGTCGACACATGCCAAAGTAATGCCTAATGCCAGGACCAAGGATCCCCCAGCAGGACATTGCGCTGTAATAAAGTCAGTGGGATTCACTTCAACTGTATGCCTTGGCTGATTAGTGTATGCACACACAAACATGCATATTAATGTGCACCTGTGCACCCAGACACATTTGTGGAAGTATTATCCTATTTCATGAGGMTTTGAGTGGAAGGAGTGGATGATAGGTAGGTGACAGTCGTGGAAGAGTGCAATTTGTGTGTGTTGGAGAAGGTGACAAGGCAGAGGAATGATAGATGAAGAAATGGATGTAGAGATTATCAGGGATCAACCCCTGACTGTCGATTTTATGTCAAGCCCATCACCCATTAGCTTCAGTCATCAGAGTACTGAGGACTTCCAGTTTACCCTCACACAAATACATATGCAAGTGGGTTTTACCTGATGGTGCATATGAGTGACGGCTGCAGGACAAGAAAAATAAGGTAAGTGACTGAAATGGATGGGTATGAAATGTCTTATAGATCCAAAAATAAGGATAGGGGATGGCTCAAGGGGCAGAAGTCATGTGGTTGACTGATGAATGAAAATGAGCAAATAATGATACTGACCATAGAGAGGAAGGAAAAAAAAATAATTGAAAAAAGGAGAAAATGTGACAGACAGTGTAGAAAATCTAAAAAAAGGCAGAAAATAGGAGCAGAAAAAGAGCAACCCCCCCCCTACCTTGCAACCCCTACAGACACTTACCCATCTGCTTCTCCACTCTGTTGAGGAGCCAGCAAACGAGCATAGTCCCAAAACAGTTGCGAGAAAGCCGTCTGAACGCTGGAAAGGAGCGAGGTAGGAAGAGAGAAGAGAGCAGCAGTCCTTGAACCAAGAAAGCAAAGCTTCTCGTATGCACCCGAGGAGGAACGGGAGAGAGCAGGGGAAATAAGGAAGGTACCACAAACACAAAAAAKAAAAAAAAGAAACTCTTCGAGAAATCCCAGATTTATTCGAAATCCACCTGAGAGGCAAACCCTCAGCTGTTGATTTTTAAACACACACGCTCACACAGCTCCCTCAATGAGCGCTGTCGCAATGACACCATCAGCTGCAAGGCTCCTCGGGCAGACTGAGAGGAGAAATGAACACACACAGACCCCCAGCACCTCCTCCCCCATTCCTCTTCGTTATTCCTGTTGTACCTTCTTGTCCACTTAATCCAACTACTCAGTCAAACAGAGGCAAGGAAGGGGTTTATCTTCTTCTGTTTAACTCTTTTTTATCTCAGTTTAAGAGCGCTGCTCTGCACTGCTGCAAAGTCTCTCCTCTTTCTGTGCCCTTCAGTATCGGACTGACTCTGCTTCACAGCGCAGAGAAGCTGGACTSCGTTTAGCTCCCTCCCCCTATCTCCCCTGCACTCCCACTGCTCTCCCTTTCCTCTCTCTGCTGCTGAATGTGTCTCCAYGCTTCCTCAGCCCCCTCCTTCAGTCCAGACTCACATATTTCATGCATTTTCCATTAAAGCAGGGTTTACAATCAGTGGCAGTGGCTCTGATTTGTATTTGAGCTTCTGATTTCAGATATAGGCAAAAGTGTATGYAACACAGAACACCTGGTTATTTGTAATCAGACTGTATACTTCTTATATTCTATATAGATAACACTTGATTCTGTAAARTGCAAAGTGGGATGAAAAGGAAAATACTGAATATGGGATCTGGTGGAAACGGTAGAAACAAAACTCAAAACAGATTAGAGTCAGGTCAAACAGAAAAAAAAATTAAAACTTTTAATTAAAATGACAAAAGAAAGTAGTTGCTTTAAAAAATTGGACCTTAAAAAGTCACTTACAAAAAAACACGAGAATTTCAAAAAATAATAATAAAAAATGTTTGGTTAAAAATGCAACCTAATACCAGTAATACCTGCTTCACTTGCTCTACATGCATTATCATGCAATACATAATAAGGATGTTATCAAAACTTTGGAGATTGAACAGCTTAGAATAAATACAAGGCATGATCCCAATGTTAGGGTGTATATTTTGCATTTGTTCGTCATTTTACTGGATGAATGATTTAAAACAGTGTTTCCCAAAGTTGGGGTCAAGACCCAAAGTGGGGTCCTGAAACATCAAGGTGGGGTCCTGAAAAGATTCTCTGAATTAATTACATTTTTGCCTTATTCAAAGGAGTGAGGTTAGTATATTTAAAATGGATAAATGTAGTATAAAAATATTGTTAATATGCCCATGTTTAACCTGATACAAATGTTTATCATCCAAAAATAGCTTGGGGAACAGGTCTCCGCTACTGTTATTTTG